CAGCACGGAAAACAAGATCGACGGAAAAAAACAAACCAAAGGGGAGTGTGGCAACGTCTATGAAACGCCGGAGCATGTGGTCTTGGACTGTCGATGGTTCGAGACAGTGCGAAGGAAGATGCTCGTCCTTAACGTGGAGAATGTCGTCGATGAAATGTATCGAGAGGAGGGTACTTGGAATACCGTCAGCAGGGCAGTCACGCAGATTATGTTACTTTTAAATTTTTTTTCAGTTACAATGATTGTCAAAAAGTTGGACAATTTCGTGGATACATCCCGGTTGAATATGTCAGATTTACGTGTGGTTCTCTATTCCTATTGATTACTGTTGTCATAGTCATTTTCCTACCCCATTTTGACGGAGACGAACCAGCTCAGGGCTGAAAGTCTCCTAAATAATGATATACAAAAATGCTGTCCCGGAAAATATAGAAGATTGAATTGGAAACAAACAATCACTAGATAATGGAATTTCTCAAACATGGGTCATTCCACATCAAGTGGGTACATCACCTGTGGTCGATGTCACCGATTTGAGCCAAACTTGACCAAAACGCTTATTTTGGCATTCTGAAAAAACGTCTTTTTGATTTTGCTCTGAAGTGCCTAGATCCTTCTCGGCTACAACCCTGGATTTTCGAGATTTTTAAAAATTTCAACTTTCAGGAAAGATTAGTAAACAACCAAATATAAGCTATTCGTTATATGAGAACGTCAATTTGAAGGTTTTTATTGTAGATTCTTATAGGTGTACACACATTTTGTTTTTGTTTTAGTAACTACAGTAAACAGGCTGATTACCGGCAGGTATCTAAATTGTAAAAAAATGGCCTATGGGATTTGTTATTTCTTAATATTTTGGGCTCAAATTGGCACCACACTTTGGAAAACTCTTCTAATTAATGTGGTTCCAAGGGCAAATGATTTGAACAAATATTGAAGTAATGAAATTGGGTTGTTAGCGGAATGCTAAATAAAACAGCAAAAAAGGTTATCTTCCATTTAATTCCACTTAATTAATTTTGGTATCCATGACAGATACGTATTTCGACTACAATGTGCAGTCTTCATCAGTGTCATTCCCACTAAAGAACTTATCAAAATCTAACCCCCTTAAGTACTGAGAATGACACTGATGAAGACTGCACATTGTAGTCGAAATACGTATCTGTCATGGATACCAAAATTAATTAAGTGGAATTAAATGGAAGATAACCTTTTTTGCTGTTTTATTTAGCATTCCGCTAACAACCCAATTTCATTACTTCATTATGATGGCTACCAAGCCTTTGGGGATTTTCCTTATTAGAGAGTTGTATAGATTTTTCTCCTTTAGCGGAATGTTAGCCTCTTGATGGAGGTCGGAAATGCGGGTATCGAAAGGACGTTCTGCGCGACCTGTATCTTGTATGTAGCAGTTCCAATAGCGATTGTTAAAAATGAGTGTGATGTATAAACCAAGGTTTAAAGCGCCCCCCGGAAAAACTCACTGCACACGGCCAACGAGATCAACCCATGATTTGACTCTACTCATAAATCACAAAAAGTTTTTTCCAGAATACCAGAAAATGATAACACTAACGATTGGATTTTCTCGGTCTATTGGTACTACTACTAGACTGTGTAAAATTTTCGTAAATTTTCCTCATTTTCCAGCAGATTATTGAGGTTTTTATTTAGGTTGATCTCATCGGTCGTGCACAAATTTGAAGGGACAACATCTTACTGGTCTTATAGAGCTTCTCGACGTCTAATCGGCGGACACTACTGTACAATTTAAATCCAACGAGTGCGAGCAAGAGGGAAACACATTAGTGGGAAAATACACCGCCGATTCATACATGTGTGATAGATGGAGAACGACAACTAAGCATCGAAAAGGTCTATTGTAATATGTAGGGTAGGATGGTTCAAAACGCACCCCTGGGGTTAAATGGCCCTTCGCTGTTTTTCATAGCTTTCCCATTGTCAATTCGTGAATTTAAAAATCAGCATTGCTAGTTCAGTGCTTGAACTAACATTCTGGCACATGATATTTCCAGAATTAGTAATGGATAAGCATCGAAAAACTGCACGGGGCCATTTTACCTCAGGGGTGCATTATGGACTATTCTCCCCTACATTCCACGATTTTGCGTACGATTTCTTCTTCTCATCATAACGCCCAAACTAAACATAAAGCCTTCTTCTGACTTAAAAAAAAAAAAAAAAAAAACAGAGGTTAACCGACATGCACGTATCATCCATATTGATCGAATAAGCCATCTCGAAAAAATCTTGCCTAGATTAAATATGGAATCGATTGGGCTTTATAGATTGGGAATGTTTTATACAGGTGAGATAGCTTGTGTGGATGGCTATCGGGCGCAGACGGCAGGACGTGTGAAAATCGATTCTAATACCTATGTTACGCTAGTAACAAAGGTAATAAGGCGGAATCTCGAACACCAAACGTCAGATCGGTATGAAATTTTTTCTGCAGGTAGATGTGGATGAGGTCTTTGCACTGCTGCAAATTTCACGATGGGATGTACCGTTGATTTGTAAAAAATCGTTAACTAAAATCATTCTATCCTGTAAATCTCCGGAACCGGAAGTTAGATCGGTATGAAATTTTTTCCCCAAGTAGATATGGATAAGATCTTTCTACTGTTAAAGAAATCATGTCGATAAAGTGTACCGTTGATTTTTTAAAAAATCGTTCACTAAAATCATTCTGGCCTATATATCTCCGAAACCGGAAGTCAGTTCGAGAAAAAATTCAATAGCGCAATGGGACCTATCAAACGAGATATCAACCATATTGATCGCATGAGCCATCTCGAAAAAAGCTTGCCTAGATGAAACGCGTCCACAGACGCACATACAGACATCAGCAAATTTCACCTTGCCGGGTCGATTTTTGATGTTTAATTTGATTTTACGATGTCGTAATCAAACTGTCGAGCCAGATCGCGCCGAGTTCTATCGATTGGGAATGTTTTATACAGGTGAGATAGCTTGTGTGGGGCGCAGACGGCAGGACGTGTGAAAATCGATTATAATACCTATGTTACGCTAGTAACAAAGGTAATACTGTGCATGATATGTTTAACCCTGTTTGTAGATGTTTTAATACAAAGGGCTTTGAATCAGTGAACCTGGATGAGAATTTGATCTGAACTCAAGGACAATTTGGAGAACCGTGAGTATCTTATACTCCTCAAAATCAACTATAAACGAACAGCAGAAACTGTATAAACGTGTTTTGGAAAGTTTTGTCGGTGAGATCATCGTGCAGATTTTAGTTGATCCAGTGGATCAAATAATCTGACCTCTAGAACAATTTGAAGAACCTAGAACTTCTAATACACCTTAAATTGATGTTGTTTGGAGATGTTTAGTTGCTAAGGACCTTGTATCAGTTATGGTTGATCAAGTAAATCATTTGATCTGAGCTCAAGACAATTTGGAGAACCTTGATTATAAATCAAAATAAATCAAAAACAATCCGCAGAAACTTTATGAACATGTCTTTGTAGGTTTTGTCGCTGAGGACATCGTGCAGTTCATGGTTGAGCCAGTAGATCAAATAATCTGAACTCCAAAGCAACTAGGAGAACCTAGAACATCTCATACACCATCAATTACAACGAAAATGATGTGCATTATAGTTATTACTTCCACCGGATCCAGATTCAAGGAATCAACCTCTGCAAAAAACTGCTTAAACATGGACTTGGTAAGCGAGTTGGTCTCTTTAGTCCAATTCATAGAGCGTATTTTGCAGAACGAATCTGACTGGGGGTTCGGGTTTCGCCAAATATCCTCTCCTCTTTCGGATACTAACAACAGGCTCATAAAATGCTCGGAGAGAAGAGAATCATCATCTTTTGAAAAGCCAGTCTGGTTGTAGTGCGTGAACCTGTAGCAGAGTCCGGACCAGCCGTGACATGCAATTTACAAGTCAACACTTTCTGGTTTAGCTTTGAAATCCTGTCTGCTACATCATCCAGTTGTAGAATCCGTGTCAAATCGCATATAACCATATCACGGATTGAAACGCTTGATGATAAGTTCACTAGCGGAAGAATTCCGAATTGTTCTGTCCATCATCCAACAGTCCTTGACCTCAGCTTTGCCGAAGAAATCATCCGTCTATATCATCAGTATCTTGAGATACAGCATTCAAATCATGCAAAATAGGAGATTTTAGGGCAAAACTGTAAAAAACCCCATTTTACCCTATCGTGCCCAAGATGAAGCCCACTCCAATCGATTTCTGAGACTTTTTTCTATAAGAATGATTATTTTTTAGTCTCTTGTTCAAGTGAGCACCGAAGTTATTGATTTTTAACACATTGTTTCGATTTTGTCCCCAGTGTGCATTGTTTTGACAATTTTGATACCTGCCTGTTTACTGCAGTTACTAAAACAAAAACAAAATGTGTGTACACCTATAAGAATCTATATTAAAAACCTTTAGATTGACGTTCTATAGCTTGTGGAGTAATCTCTTCTGAAAGTTGAAATTTTTAAATATCTCGAAAATCCACGTTATTCCCTGAACTGAACGTGACTACGAAACATCTAACGCCAAATTTGCTTATAATCCTACATTTGTGCCAACGACTTTGTAGTTACTCACCTTTCCTGCCACCATCACGGTCACAAAAGACCGTGATGCATTAAACTTGCATTTAATTTTCCGGAAAATTTTCCACATCCTCTGCGGTGATGAAATCATGCGCCAATCACCCCAAATAGTTGTTGAATTCCTACATATGTGTGCGGCCTCCAAACGTGACTCTGTACGTGCTACTCTAAACAGTTACTCATGCGTTCGAAAATAAACGGACGGCCAGAGAGACGAGCAAATGTGCGCAGCATGTGCCAAATGGGCTGGAAAGCGTGCACGAGGCGTGTTTTCAAAAAGAAAAAAGAAAAATCGTAAGTCAAAGTGGTGTCATCGTGGGTGCGTGGGAGGATTTTCTTTCGGTCGACAGTTAATTAACGACTCGTGTTTGTCCTAGTTGTTATTTTTGTAAAAATAGTCCATTTCATAATTCTCATACTTTGTTCAATACAAATGTTTCTTCAGCTTATTAATACGTATAGGTACAAAATACAATCGTACTGGATAAAAGACTGCAAGGCGCGGTTTTGGTATTGTCGAAACTTTGCAATAAATCCATAATTTCAGTACAAATATCAATCATTCTGCTCTCTGCTCTGCTCTAAACTGGCTACGCTCCTGCGGTACTTATACTCACACACTATCGGTAATACAAATACAAAATGGTTTATCGGGATTTTAGAGTAAGCAATAAATCAACCAAATCTAAATGTTATGGCAATAAAGTCAACAAAGGAAAATTTGAATGAAATTAAAAAAAAAATTGTGAATCGCAGCTGGGAGGTTTTTTGTTTCTTCCTCACTTGCCGAGGATGATTTTACGGCCGGCGCCAAGGTTCTGGCCGGCTTGGCTGGCGCCTTTGTTGGTGCCGGCCTGGAGGCCGATGATGGTCTGACCGGCGGCGAGTTGTTCCTCGGTGAAGTTACGTTTGCACTCATCGGCTGGCTTCGGTCCCAGAGACGGTCCGGTGAATTCGGGGTGTTTGTAGCACTGGTTTTTTTTCGTAGATGGAGAGAAATAGAAGCGAAGATTTGGAGGTTAGTTTGTGTTTGCTGGTGGTGTTTACTACAACTTAAAAATAATATTTGAGGTATCAAGATGGCTTTTGGAAAACCATTCAGATCAATTACATATCGAAAAGCGCTTTAATTCTCTGATCACAATAAGATAATTTCAACCCAAACAATGCATAAGGGCCTATTTACATTGATGATTCTCTTCGTGGATTTTCTCCATGCTCCATGACAAAAACGCCTCTGGCTGTGCTTTTGTCATGTAAATTGCTAGATAATAGCTTCATCCATCAAACTGTTTGTCGAAAATAGCCCGATTTCGATCAATGTTGTTAGGACCTTATGCATTGTTTTCAAACCAGACGGTTAAACTTGTAAGAACAAACCACTATTATACAATGAGCAGGATGAGTGTCCTATACGAAAACCCTTTGTGATATGATATTTCTTGTCTTGACGATCATATAGCTAATTTGTTTATTATTCAGTTCCAACCTGGATCGGGCATCAAGATCGGGTCTGCTTGTTTTCTGACAAACGTCAGTTTGATCGTTTGTTTTTAAAACCTAACTCAGGTTCAGGTTCGCACTGACAAAAAGTTCGGTTTCGCACTGGGTTGGAACAGGTTTCAACCCCGATAATAAACAAATTCGCTAATAGTGAGATGACTAGCAGCATGCTTTGATCGTCAATACAAGAAGACGGACTGTTTATCAGTATACTATAGTGAATGAAGTAGGGTTTCGTAGATATTGTTTAAAATCTAATAGGGTGGAGAACTACTTCGACCTAATCGCCCATTTTTGACCTATCGAGCAGAAAACTACAAATAAATCCATGATTTCAGAGTTAACAAGTCAATTATGCGTTTGGTACGATACTTTAGTGAATAAGGTACCGAACGAAGTCAATGAGAACGTGTGGTATGAAGGTTTGCACCCATTATTCCCAAAAACAAAAGAAGCGCTCCGACCGAATCAATTTTTATCTTCTTCCGATAGGCCGCAGTGAATTCATTGACGTTTCAATGCGTTAGGCTGAGTTTAGAATCCGGCCGAGTTTGACGTCAAGAAGCAGCGTTAGACTTTTGACAATATCGCAACGATTGGTTTCTCTTTATCAAATCTTACGGTACGTACGGAAAGGTAAATAAATTTGGAAGCATTAGTGATAATAACATTCCGTTTGGTGCTAAACTGCGCTAGATTAAGAAAGACTAAGTGCGGGTTGTGCTTAATAGGCCGGAAATGGGTTAGTTAACCCTACTGCTTCTTGATTTTAAATTCGTTCTACGAGTTACAATTCCGTCCTAACGCATTGAAACGCCATTAGATTTTCTTCGTCCTACGGATAAACGTAGAAAAAGGGGATTCGCTAGGAGTTTTGAGAACAATGAGCGTATGTTGGATTTATGTTGTAGCTAATGAACTAACGCATCGGAACAAACCTATTATTGATTTGTGCACAGTGAAGTCATTGATATTATTGATCTTTTCTAATCGATAGAACGGAAATGGGCGATTACGACGAAGTAGTGCTCTACCCTACTTGTGATACAGTTTTTGTTTTGTCGCATGTCCTTTGACGGTCGGCATTGCAAGTTTTATAGTGGTTTTAAAGCATGCTACAAGTCTAAATCATGGTCTACAGAACCCTCATAAAACCAAAATTGTTACTTGGGCATAGTAGCCAAAATATATGCACTGACGGTGACAATCTTCAGCACTGCATCAAATCGTTTTCAACTATTCAAATCAGCATTTCATGATCTATTATCATAGGAAATTTAGGATTTCACCAGGAATTATCTTCACAATCCTTACAAACCTCTTTTCAGAATCACCATCAAATTTCATTCAGAACTCGCTTGGAATTTTCATTGTAATTTCTCTTCACAGCTTGCTTGGCAATTTTCTCGCTTCGGCAATATAAGCTGCTGAATTTCTCCTGAATAACTTTGCAATTCTCCTCTGAACTACATGAGAATTCTTAAGAAGCTAATCTAAGAAGTAAATTTCATTTCAAGATTTCTCAATTTTGTAAACAAACCTTGCAAGGCCATTTCAATTGTTGGTCTTGATTTAAGTGTTTCTCAAAATTTTGCTTTCAACTTTACTCAGAATTCTCTTCCGGAAATGCGATTGGAATTCTCTTGAAACACTTCTCAAATTCATTTTAAACTATCATCAGAACTCGATTCTCTTGCAATTTTTCTCGAAGCTCTCTTCTGGATTCGCTTGGAGCTCTTCTCGTCATAGTAGCCCAAATTTATGCACTGCACCAAATCGTTTTGAGCTACTCAAATATCTCATGATCTATTCTCATGGGAAATTTAGGATTTCACCAGGAATTCTCTTCACAATCCTTACAAATCTCTTTTGAGAATCACCATCAAATTTCATTCAGAACTCGCTTGGAATTTAAGCTGCAGAATTTCTCCTGAATAACTTTACAATTCTCCTCTGAACTACCTGAGAATTCTTAAGAAGCTAATCTAAGAAGTAAATTTCATTTGAGTGTTTCTCAAAATTTTGCTTTCAACTTTACTCAGAATTCTCTTCCGGAAATGCGATTGGAATTCTCTTGAAACACTTATGAAATTCATTTTGAACTATCATCAGAACTCGATTCTCTTGCAATTTTTCTCGAAGCTCTCTTCTGGATTTCCTTGGAACTCTTCTCAGACATAATTTGAATCCTCGTCCAAAATGCCTAGGAGTTTTATCCAAGATTCACTTAAGAATTTTACTCCAAACTTACTTGAAGTTCTCTTCACAATTCCCTTATTTCTTCACCAAAGGAAGTTCTAACTTACATTCCAAGGAGTTTCTGAGAAGACTTCCTTTGGAATTTTCCCCAGAACTCAATTTAATTGCACCAGTATTCCGTAGGACATGTCTACATCATTACTTTGGAATTCTAGTTAGAACCCTTGATGTTCAGAGGAAAAATTTCTCCAAATTAGCTTGGAATTATCACCAGAATTTCTTTTAAATTCCGCTCGAGATTCCTTTGGAGGTCTCCAGAAAATTCTTTAAATTGTTAAAATCCTGGAAATATCTTCCTAGTTTCAGAAGGGCAAACATTCCACTGGTGTTGGTTCTGGAAGGTTCCCAGAATTAGTATGGAACTTGTCTGAAGCTTGCTGAATTTATCTTAAGTTTCCTGAACATGTCTGGGGAACTTTGAACATTCTAGAGCATTACACAGTTTACATGAAGATCTCTGAAACACCTACTTTGTCATCAAAGCAGCTTGAGATTCGTGATGGGGATTTAATCCAAGGATAATACCGCCTGAAGCTTACCACTTATCAATTCACGTTCCCCGATCCAAGGATAGAGAATCCCCGGGAAACGGATGATTTTGAGAAAAGCCATGCTAAACACAAATTTTGCACTAAAACGGTTAACATTTTTTGTGAAATTTCCTTTATGTATCTGGGGTAATCGGAAGAAACCTCCGTAGAATGTTCATAAAAGCTTCTGCGAGAAGTTGAAAGAAATATCCGGCGGAACCAGGAAGAAACTTCTGGAGCAACATTTGAAGAAAACCGAAAAAAGTTGGAAGGAACTTCTTTGGGAAGTTGTAATAAAATTCCGGGAGAAGACGGAACAAGCATGTTGCGAAAAGTTGATAAGCTTTCTAGCAAGACAAGAAAAAATTTCAGTGGAAAGCGGAAACTCTTTTGGAAGAGGTCAGAAGGAATTTCCGGAAGATGCTGAATGGAACTTTCAAGTGATGTCGAAAAAAAAATATCCGAGGGAAGCCTGGAGATACTTCCGGGAATAGTCGGAAGACACTCACAGGGAACAGAAAACAGTTCTAGGAGTAGGGAAATTAATCTTCCAGAGGAAGTGAACAGAAACTTCCGGGAAAAGTCAGTTACAACTTCCAGTATTGTTCGGAACAATTGTTTGGGGGAAGTCTGGAAAAAACATCCAGAGTATGCCGAAAAACTTTATAGAAATCTCCATAGAAATTTCTATAAAACTAAGAAACTTCATGCGTTGGAGGGACGTTTGAGGAATGTCGGTATGCTAGAATAGTTCTCGGTGGCAATCAGATGAAACTTCTAGGAGATTTCATAACAATTCTGGGGTATACTGGGAGAAACTTTGGGGAGAAATCGAGATTATTTTAAAGACGAAGTTAGTAGAAAATTCTTGGAGAAGTTGAGAGAACATTAAACAGAAACTTTTCAAGGGATACCAGAAGGACTTCTTGAAGAAATTAATAAAGAAATAAATCTTCCGTTTCCAGTAATGAAAATTAGAAACCTCCGGAAATGGTAGGAAACAAATTATGGGAAGTTGGTGGTCAATTCCAGGAGAGGTTCGAATTCTTCATGGATTGTTGTACATAAGTTAAAAAATTTGACATCCGACGACGTGATACGACAGCTTAACGCACTCGGGAACGAATTCGAATCGAGGGAGCCGTGGCTGATCCACCTACTGCTGGAGAAAGTTGACAGATGGGAAGCGGCCGTGAAGAGTGCAAAGGAGTTGCTTCGTCCCGTCGTTGCAAATGAGAAACTTACCTACGAGGAGCTATCAACTGATAGCTTTCTGGTCGGGCAGCTCTTGAATCTGCTGCCTGAACCAGACTTAACCCACATCAGGATGAACCAGTTGGACCGTTGGCAGAAGGTTCAACGGTACACAGCGGAGTTTTGGCTGAGTACATCGCCGCCTTGCAACCCAGAGGAAAATGAGTCAGGACAACTTGAAGCCTGGGCAGTTGGTGATCATGAAGAACGATAACAGCCCACCGTCAACTTGAGAGCTGGCTCGCATCGTGACAGTGCATCCGGATCAGCAAGGGTTGGTTCGCACCGTCACTCTACGCAGAGGAAAGTCGGAGTATCAACGTCCGGTACAGAAGTTGTGTCCACTTGAATAAAAGTGTTTTCCGATTCCCATGTAGTCAAAAATGGCCGGGAAATGAAAACATAAAACAGTTCAGAGAGCAAGCAAAGAAGTTTAGGGAACTTCAAGAAAAGTTTTGAGACCATTTAGTAAACTTCAGAGAAGATCTAGAGAAGTGCAAAGAATTTAGATATATTTTCGGGTTTTGGCTCTGTAGTTTTAAGAAGTGAAAGCACTTACATGCGTTCTTACTCCAACGTTTCAGTCCTTATGGAACCTTTTTTAAGGATTAGAAATTCTACTATGTTTTCGAATCCTTGACTAAAGTCCAATAAGGACCGAAAAGTCAGAGTAAGAAAGCATATAAGTGTTTTTACTTCTATAAGGACTGCAGAGCCAAAATCTGAAAACATATACAATAACTGTTGAATCAGCATATAATTAGAATCTAAAAATATTCTAAGATCATATGGGAAAGTTTAGGGGCATCTAGAAAAGCTCTGGGAGCATTTTGTGAACTATACGGAACCTCATGGAAAGTTTTGGGGAATTTTAGAAAAGTTAAGAGGATATCTAGACAAGCTCAGGGATTGCAGTGAGCATCTAGAGAAGTATTAGAAACATCATAAAAAGTTTTGCGTGTCTCTTTTCAACTTAAGAGATGAAGAGAGTTGTTAAAGGAATATGTAGAGAAATAAAGAGGACATCTAAAGAAGTTCAAGTACCATCTATACCATTTGAAAAATCCATGGAAATTTCTGTGATCTATGGCGTACACACAGTTAATACCACAAAATTCAAGGAATATCTGAGTAAATTTAGAGAACACAAATTCAGGGTATATCTGTAAAGTTTAGAAAGCAAGTTCTGGAAATAATTATAAAATTTCAAGGGACATCTAGAGAAACTGATGGAACATCTTCAAAAGTTCTGGGAAAATCTGTAAACGTTTAGAGAGCATCTAAAGAAGTTCATGCATTATTTAGAGGAGTTCAGGGATCATCTAGACACGTTTAAGGAATATCTGTAGAAGTTTATTGAACGTCTATATAAGTTCAGGAAAGTTTTAAGAACGTCTAGTTAAGTTCAGGGAACATCTAAAAAAGATCAGATAACATCTAGAGAAGTTGAAGAAAAGCTAAGAGAACATCTACGTAAGTTCTGGAAGCAAATTCAAAAGTTTAGAGAGCATTCTCCAGTTAACGAATATCTGTAAAAGTAACATCTATAGAAGTTGAAGGAGCATATGGAGGCATAGTGGAAACATCTAGAAAAGTTTAGGGAACATCTGGTTAAGTTCAAAGAACATTGGGTAAGCTCTAAGCATATCTAGAAAACTTTCGGGATTACTTGGAAAAATTGAAGTAGGTGCTAGAGAAGTTCTGTAAACATCTAGAAAAACTGAGAAAATGTTCAGATCCATTCGCATGACCGTAACGTATTTAAAGTCTTCTAAGTTGATCAATTTCCATCTAGGGCTTGTACGATGTTCTTAGCATCGTGCCATATCCAAAGCACCATTTAGAGTATACTGAAATTTCACTAGATCAACCATTGAGATAATGTCCCTAGCTTTGAAACATGCCCAAGCAGATTTATAGAATCTGCATCAGATGTAGATCTAGTAGATTTGTCATGAACTTTGACCTAAACTCCAGGATAATTTGGAAAATGATGTATATGATGCACATCGCGATTAATAGAGTCAGCTTGGTCTTATTTTGTTGCTGAAGGCATCCTACATACTCTGGTTTTTGCAGTAGGTCATATAATTTGAATTCAATTGAATTAGAATAAGTGTGATATAGGAAAAGTGAAATACTTTTATCGTAATTCATATTTAAAAAATATCCTTCCTCTCCACTAACCTCGAGACGACCGCGAGTATTTGCATCAATTCCTGTGACGCTAGATTTAAAGCATTAAATGTACAACGCAAATGATAACTTGGCTCTGTAAAGTTTATTCGATTGAGCCTGTACCAAAAAATAATTTACAAAGCTATTTGAACTCTAGAACGATTTGAAGACTCTAGAATATCTTTTAGACGATAAATGCATTTATGATTATGAACATCAGGCATTCCACAGCAAAACGATATAGAGCTTCTAAGAATTTCGTAAAAACTAGTAGTTTTGTTCCTTATCGCAAAATATTAGACTTAGACTTACAATGACTTTTTTTTCAAAAAATCCTTAAGTTTTGAACAACTGGACCGGTTTTTGGCACCTCAGAGAATTTCAACACTGTCAGACTACTTTAGGGCACTTATTAAGAATTAATATGAACCTAGAGGACTTTGCGAGGCATTGGAGAAGAGTAGGGAACTGCATTGAAGTTCTGAGAAGAAGGATATGTACGGAACAGAAGAACAAATAAGAAGCTTCTGGGGTGTTAAAGGGAAAGGGGAGGTCATACATTTTTGGAAATTCAAAATCCTGTCAATAAAAATGTGTTCACTGTTTTCCGGTAGGCAAGTAGAATGCAATGAACACATTTCCATAAACTGAATTTTGGTTTCGAACGAAAAAACTGCTTTTGAATATTTTAAAATTAATGATGCCCCCTTTCACCTTAAACGACTTAAGAATAGTTCACAGTATCCGGATCCACTTCACGTCCTTCTTCTATAGATTTCTTGAATAAGGGATTGATTTCACAGAAATATCACTTGAAGAATCCTCTAAAGTCTATCTTCTGAAAGCATCCTCAAAATGTCTCTGAATCTCAACACAACCGAGAAACCGCTCCAAAATCTCTTCAACATTCTTCAATCCACCACTAATTCGATTGTCACGTCACACCATTCCCAAAACCGCCACTTACCGCTCGTCCCAGCGCGAATATCGTGCTGGTCACTTGGGCGATGTCCTTCTTCTCGTACAGGTCCACCGTTTGGAACACGTCCAGGTCCGGTACGCCGTACTTTTTGATTGCCTGCTGGAACATGTTGATGTTTTCCATCATCTTGAACTGCGATCCGGACGTGTTGATCTTGGGCACCGCCCCGGGGGACAGTTTGTTGATCAGCTGGCACAGGACCAACCCATCCCGCAGGGCATCCTCGTACAGCACTCCGGCGGGGAACTTTTCTCCCAGCACCTCCTCGATCCAGTACTGGGCTTCCTTGTCCTTCTCCAGGTCACGCTTGCCAGCAATCTGCGAATAGCGGTCAGCGAGTTCTATCACAATTTTCCCGAAGGTTGTCGGCTTTCACTTGAACACCTACCTTGGCACGAACTTGACGCTCCAAAGCCATCTTCTTGTTAGTTAATAGCGCGTAAAAAAAATTACCACGAAAAAAAAAACGATAACAAATCACTCACAGAGCCGAGTAAAAGTTTCAATTTCGGATCTTGGCACACGCGAACGCCTCCAATTTCAACTTCGGGGCACTTGTTTCTTTGAATCACTGCTCGGAACTGATGTCCATGGCGATGAAACGAATTGCTTTTAAACTTCAACTCGGTAGGATGTCGACGCCGACGATCATCCAAGCATGCGCGGCGGGAAAATTTTGGAGAAAAACATGCGCAAACCTAACTCGGTGCGGCTGCGTGCAGAGAAAGCAATGAACGACCGGACGATCCAAGTTGGCATCGGTTGGTTGCGGGGGCAACGGTGGGCGGTGGGGGTGGTATTTTCCTTCGATTCAACGAAACACAGTGGTCGCCTTTGTTTTTCCGAAAATCCGACTGTCGTCGAGTCAGCATTTAGCCGCAGTCTGCTGGTGGTGAGCGGTGGGTCGGTGAGTTGGGAAATTATGTGGATGCTATTTAATTTCCGTTTTGCGGTTTGGTGATCGCAAAGCAGGCGAATGTTTGCAACATTATTGTGCAAACTATTATGTTTATTTGAGTGTAAGATGAATAGTGATTGTATTCAGTATTATCAGTTCTTTAGATTTAAAATTAATGAAGTCACCTTAATGAAATTGTGCGAGATAGATGACTTTAGGGTCAACATTTACTTCGGCCTAATCGTCCATTTTCGTCCTATCGAGCAGAAAACATAAAATATAGGGGAAATGGCTCTAATCTTGGCCTATGGATCTAAAGATTGAGCCCATCGATTAAAATCGCTTGTTTTTAAAACTTTTCCTTAAACTATGCGTCATCTGGACAATTCAAATGGATGTTTTTGGTTGTCAGTGAAAAATTGGCAAAAAATGCTTTCCTTTGAAATCAAAGTATGGGTCCAACATTAGGGACACATAGGCCGACATTAACGGTCTTAACCATATCTATGATTTCGGCGTTATCTATTCAATTATACGTTTGGTACGATACTTTAGTTCAAAAGCTACAACACAAAGCCTTTAAGACGTTATTTTGAATTAAATCGAAAACCCGTAGGCCAAATTTGAAATCACGAAGTAGTGTTGTATTTTTAACAAAATATAAACGTCTTTTGATTCGTTATCAAATCCAACGATACATAGGGAGTAGAAGCCTTCCTCTTTGTGAAAAATCCGTTCGCAAATCTTTCTGAAGTTCATGAATTTTTTCTGAAAAAAAAAGTTCCTAGAATTTTACTGAAGTTCACAGACTTCCCTCAAAGTTGCCATAAATTTACTGAAGTTTGTAGGATCTTCTTTTTATTTTCTTTATTTATTTAAAAGGTTTTCAGCCTAAAGGCTGGTTCACCTCTGAGATAGGATCTTCTTAAAGTTTGCAGACTATCCAAGTTCACAGACTTTGCTGAAGTTCTCTGAATTTAGCTGATGTCCAAAGACTTCTTAGAAGTTTCCAAAATTTTCCTCCACTACGCAGAATTTTCCTGAAGTTTGTATAATTTTCCAGAAGTTCGCTGAATTTTTCTTAAAATCACGAACTTTCTTGAGGTTTGCTAAATTTTCCTGAAGTTATCAAAATTTCCCTGAAATTTCCAGACTTCCCTGAAGTTTGCAGAATTTTTCTGAAATGACTTCCTTAAAATTCCCAGAAAATTCCTGAAGTTCACAAACTCCCATTAAAGTTCCCAGACATTTCCTGAAGTTTGCTGAATTTTCCTGAAGTTCGCAGATTTTTTTTTAAGTTCACAGACTTCTTTGAGTTTCCCGAGTTTTCCTGAGTTTCCCAGAATCTTTCTGATGTTTGCTGGATCTTCTTAAAATTTACAGAATTTTCTTAAATTTTGCAGACTTCCCCGAAGTTCGTAAAATGTTCCAAACATTTTCTGAAGTTTGCAAACTTTTCTGAAGTTCGCAGAATCATACTGAAGTTTGTACAATTTTTCTTGAGCTTACATAATTCTCCAGAAATTCACGAACTTTCCTGGACATAGCGAAAAATTTCCTGAAGTTTACATAATAATCCAGAAATTCCCAGACTTCCCTTAAGTTTGCATTTTTTTGACGTAGAACTACGTCTTTGTCGACTATACTGGGGTGCAAATCAAAAAATATGTGTGGCGAAGTAGTGTTAGGTTTTTAACGCTTGTTACTTTGTCATTTATAGACAAAATTAAAATCCAAATACGCCAATCGATAGGATATTACTTAATGAATCTGCTAGAATAAATTCTTCTCTAATTTTTAATCAAAAAACTTTTGAAAAATGCACACATGGTAATTTCATCACTGTTTCCATGAACTAAACGTTTTCCCCAAACCCAGTCATCATAAACGAATACCAATTGGTTGCACATCATTCTGCTTGAACCTGAAAAGATATAAAACAGCGCTTCAGTCGTGCCACTGCTCATTACCGCTTCGGACGGCGTGGAACTTGGTCCTGCAGCAAGCAGGACTAAGTAAGCGGATGAAAAGGTGGATCACGGCGTGATCACCTGTCACACAGTAAGGAATGAGACTTGGACATGAAAAATACTCCTCTCTCCCTCCCCGTCTATAACAATAACTCAAAAAATACATGGATTTCACGATCACTTATTTTTCCGGGAAATAAATTTTAAGCAAACTAGAAGTAAAAAACAAAAGCCAAAATTTTCAAAACAATTTCTTAATAGAAGACAGATATTCTGTTGGTAAATTACCACAACTGATTGTAAAACATATCTGATACCTCTATATATGCAATTAGATTAACATCCAAAGTCCATCCTTTTTTACATATTCTGCACAAAAGAAATTTTCTGCCCCGCCCCATTCATAAAAAACGGCGGGAAATCCTGCCAGTTGCGAGGCTTAGAAAGTATGTATTGTGCAGAATATGTAAAAAAGGAGGGACGTCGAATGTTAATTTAGGTTAATATAGGTATATAGGTATATATGGTGCAAAATAGATAGAGAAGCTGGTTCTACGTCATACTGCGGTCGTGTCAAGGACACAACCCTTTAATTTTTTTTTAAAATGTGCAGGCTTCCTTGAAATTCTTAGAAATTTTCGGAATTTTTCAATAGTTTGCTGAATTTTCTTGAAGTACACAGACTAATGTTTACAGAGTTTTCCTGAAGTTTGCAGAATTTGATTAAAGTTCGTAAAATTCGCATGTTTCTATACAGTTACCAAAACTTTCTTGAAGTTTGTAGATTTTTTCTGAAGTTGAAAGAATTTTCCAGAAGTTCACGGACTTTTTTCCTTTCTGAAGTTTTAAAATTTCCCTGCTGAAATTCCAAGACTTCCCTAAGGATTTCAGAATTTTCCTGGCTTCCAGGCTTCCTTGAAATTCCCAGAAATTTTACGAAGTTTGCAAAATTTTACTGATTGTTTTTGTAGTTCACAGACTTAATTGAAGTTTACTGAATTACGCAAAATGTTTCTGAAGTTTGCAGGATCTTCCTAAAGTTTGTAAAATTTTCCTGAAGTTTTCAAAATTTGATTAAAATTTGCAGACTTTCCTGAAGTTTGTTAAATGTTTCAGAATTTTACTAAAGTTCGCAGACTTCCCTCAAAGTTCCCATAAAACTTCTGAAGTTTGAAGAATCTCCTTAAAGTTTGTAGATTTTTTCAATTTTTACAATTTTCCTGAAGTTCACAAAATTATCTCTGAAAATCCCAGACTTCCCAAAAGTTCACAGACTTTGCTGAAATTCTCTGAATTTTGCTTATGTCCAAAGACTTCTTAGAAGTTTCCAGAATTTTCCTCCACTACGCAGAATCTTTTTGAAGTTTGCAGAATTTCTTGAACTTCGCAGCTCCCCTTAAGTCCATAGATTTTTTTTAAGTTTGTAGAAATTTTCACGGACTTTCCTAAAGTTGTAGAAGATCGCTGAAATTTGAAGTTTGCAGACTTTCCTGAGATTGTAAACATACACTTACCATAATTTTCCTGAAACTCGGACAATCTTCCGGTAGTTCATAGAATTTTCTCGAAGTTCGTAGCATTTTTCTTGAAGTTTACAGCAGTGGCGTCACGTAACCTCACTTTTTACCTGTGCACCAACTTTCAAAACCAGATTTAATGCCATATTCATACTCGAATCGGTTGAAAAATACATTCCTAGTTTACTCGATATCTATCCATCGCAAGCAATAGTTTGATAATTGTTTCTGTTTTGAGAGTTGGTGCACAGGTAGATTGAGGTTAAGGAAACGCCGCTGGTTTACAGACTGACCCTGACATTTGTTGAATTTTACTGTTGTTCGAAGACTTCCTTGAAGTTTGCATATCTCCTTGAAGTTTGCAGAATTTTCCTGGAGTTCTCAGAATTTTTCCAAAATTCCCAGACTTCCCTGAAGTTCAAAGACTGTTCAGAAGGTCTCAGAATGTTCCCGATTTTCAAAAAAGTCATTTAAAATTTTCCTGAATTACGATACATCTTTTAAAATTCAAGGACTTTCAGAAAGTCTCGGAATCGTCTGGAGGCTCGCAGATTTTTTTAAGTCTTGCAGACTTTCCTGAGTTTGTCGAGTTCCCTCCAGTAACGATAATTTTCATAAAATTCGCAGAATCTTTCGGAAAATCACAGAATTTTCCTGAAGTTCATATGATGATGATGATGATGATGGTCCCACCTCTTACCCCTACAAAGGTTTGAGCTGGACGATTTATCTTTAAGATAATTAAATATGACATTTTAACCAGGTTGGCAAACAAAATCGAACTGGTTTCAGTTACAGATATAAATTCCCTCTAGAGTTTACAGTTGCTTCACAGCGATATAAATGTTGAAAAGCTCAGGCGTCCACCTCTTAGTTCGCCTTTTTGTCCACCTAAAATATTCATAAGTATTACAAGCAATCAAGAGTTAATGAACAATCAACAAAGCATCCTATTACACTAGTAACCCCGCAATCTGATGCTATCATAATTTTCAGCAATGTCAGGAATGCTCACAAACCCCCAACATTTGCCAGAAAACTTACTACTAACTCAAGGTATCTTCCAAATAAGCTTCAAAATTGCATTTTTTTTTTTATCAAATGTTAAATTCAGTCCTCTATATCCGTAATACGCGCGCGAGGCTCAAACCTTTGTAGACTACTATTTTTTTTACTACTACTATTAAATCATATATCAAAAATCCATCATCACCA